ATATATATATATATATAAGTGTCAACATTAATTTTAAAGTGCCATACTGTGTCAACATTAATTATAAAATATATATATAGCTCATTACACACATATATATAGTATACTGTTAGTACTTTTATAGTTATATATATATATATATATATATATATATATATATATATATATATATATATATATATATAAAATAATTCGGGGATGGGGCGGGGCGGGGAGGGGTATCCTCGTCCCTGTCCTCGTCCCCGGCGGGAAATCATAAATATTCCCCGTCCCGTTCCCGTTCTCCGAAAATTTTCTCCATCCCCGTCTCCTTCGGGGCGGGGATCGGTGATTCCCGTCGGGGGCGGGGCACATTGCCATCCCTACCCAAGGGCGGAGCCAGCATGGGGGCAATGGGGGCAGCTGCCCCCCCTCCCCCCACCCCACCCCACCCCACCCCTATATTATCCTTGTATGTATATATGTATATATATAGAACAGGTTTTAAGTATTAGTATAATAAAACACAAGAATTTAAACAAGTGTTGCTTCAATTTGGTTGGTTGGGCGTGTGTTTGGCCTTTGGTAAGGTCTAGGGTTTGAATCTTGTTGTGCTTAAATAAGTTTTATGACTTTTTATTATTAATTGTTAGGCTATTGTTTCAACACAATTTCATATATATAAAATGAGATGTGTACTTTATAATTTATTTTCTATTCTAATTATTTTATCAAATTAATTATGTTTCATATTTTATTATAAATATTTTTATAAAGTTTTGATATGGTTTATTTTTTACTTATATCCAAAAATATTTATAATTATACTTTTAAGTGTTTCATTTTTGTAAAAACTATCTTTTTTTGTTGTAATGTTCTGCCCCCACTGACAAAATTTCCTGGCTCCGCCACTGTTCCTACCGATAACATTTTCAAAAAAAAAAAAGAAGAGTTGTTTCATAGTCTTATTTTCTCTCGAACACATAGCTAATTATTATTTTCCCTCACCTGCTTAGTTTCGAGAATCAACTTTGAAGATGGTGAATTTGCATGAGTATGTCATTGATTAAATATTTAAATTTAGTTTGAAAATATTTAGGGATCAATATCAAGTTTCACATTTTGAGAAATATTTTAACTAAGCTACAGACTAGATAATTTTTTTTTGAAAAAGAGATCAGAGATCAGATTTATTTAGTCGATCAATTAGTTAGTCGTGTGAACAACCACTTTGATAACACTTGTTGGTCTTGGCAAGTAAAAGTTTAGAAGGGTGGGGATGGGGAGGGTATAGAAGCAGAATGAACGATGCATTTCACCAAAAGACAGAGAAGGCTTAAATAGCCAAGAATACAACAAACCCACCTAAGTCTATGAGTTGTTAACAGACTTATTCTATTCCTATAAACAAGGAAGAACTAATCTATATTATAAGGTAATATTATGTCTTCTTACACCCCCGCAAGATGGTGGATCCATCAGAGACACCCAGCTTGGAGCGAAAGCCTTCATAAGAATGGCGGGGTAAGGACTTGGTAAGGACATCAGCGATTTGATCTTGTGTACGGATGTAACGAACGCATAGGGCCCCCCTGTCAACAAGGTCACGAACAAAGAAAAAATCCAAAGCAAGGTGCTTCATCCGGGAATGATACACGAGATTTTTGCACACATAAGTCGCCCCCATGTTGTCACAATATAACATCGGCGTAGAGGAGAGCCGGATACCCAGATCACACAGCAAGTTCTGCAACCAAATAACTTCAGCAGCCACATTCGCCAAGGCCCGATATTCGGCTTCGGTAGATGACCGCGCAACAGCTTTCTGGCGAACCGAGCGCCAGGAAATAAGGTTAGCACCCAAATATACAGCATACCCTGTCGTTGACCGTCCCCCATCATGGATTCCACCCCAACTTGCATCTGAAAAAGCAGTAAGAGTCAGACTCGACCCACGACGCAAAAACAGGCCATGACACACGGTGCCCTTGAGATAGCAGAGCACACGTTTCACTCCTTGCTAGTGGACCGAGGTTGGGGAATTCAAGAACTGCGACAGGCGGTTGACAATGAAGCTAACATCTGGTCTGGTGATAGAGAGATACTGCAAAAGCCCCACTGCACGGCGGTACAGAGCACTATCTGCCAAGCCCGAACCATCATCACTATGTAGCTCAGTAGCAGACCCCGGGGTGGAAATTGCTTTAGCATCCTGCATGTCAAATTCTTTAAGAATGTCCATAATATACTGAGCTTGAGAGAGAAAGATACCCGCGGATGTGGGAACCAACTCAACACCAAGAAAATGGCGCAGAGGGCCTAGATCCTTGAGAGAAAAACGGGCTGCCAAAGATTCAACAAATTGAGTCAAGAATCCCGGAGAGTTCCCTGTCAGTATTATATCATCTACGTACACCATAAAATATGCCAAAATATCATCAGATTGATAGATAAAGAGTGAATAATCTGCCCGGGATTTCCTGAACCCAAAAGAAACCAAAAACGACGATAACGCCATATACCAGGCCCGAGGAGCTTGTTTAAGGCCATAAATGGCCTTTTTCAAACGACACACATGATTCGGTCGTAGCGGATCACAGAATCCCGGCGGTTGTTTCATATAAACCTGTTCCGTTAGCGTTCCATGCAAGAACGCATTATTCACGTCCAGTTGCCGTAACGACCAGTTACGTGCCAACGCAATAGATAACACAATCCGTATCGTTGCGGGTTTAGCAACTGGACTAAAGGTATCAAAGTAGTCTTTGCCATGTTCCTGTAAATACCCTTTGGCTACTAATCTAGCTTTATACCGATCAATAGTCCCATCCGGTTTTCGTTTAATACGGAACACCCATTTACACCCAATCGGAGGTTCAGACCCGGGGGGGACAAGTTCCCAGGTATCATTTCTGAGTAACGCCTGAAATTCTTCACTCATTGCATGGCGCCAATAGGGCGATCGCTGCGCCTGGCTCACAGTAGTCGGCTCCAACAGAGGAGTTAACGTATGTGTAGATGTGAGATTAATGTACATGGAGTTATAATATTTGTGATTGGGTTTACGTTGGCGTTGTGACCTCCTGGATATTGGAACCTCATTAACCTGGTCTCGGGCAACTGCAGTACACTCAGACGAATCTTGCGTCAACGAAGCTGCGGACTGAGAGATAGCATCTTGCGCCTGTGAAACAGACGGCTGGGAAGCAGCTTCGTGCGTCGAAGTAGTGGCTGGGTGGGAAGGTAAATGTGGTGACAAACTTTCTGGAGGTACTTGAGATGTAGTATGGGAGCTAGACTGTGGCGTCGGGATTTCAGTTGTCGGTTGAAGCGAAATAGTGTGCGCAGCAGTGGAAACCTCTACTGCAGAGTTGGACGGAGTTGGAGACATTTGATTGGTGGAGCTGAGGGAGTCAGACGGTATAGGCATTAACGAGGCAGTATGAGAATATGTGGAGGATTCATAAATATCATACGGAACAACCTGTTTACTCCGTGCCGCATCCACTTCTGCTGGAGAATTGCGTGTCCGTGCCAGTGCCTGAAAAGGAAACTCACTAGGTACAAACCGAACATGACGTGACAAATAAACTCGACCTGTACAATGATCCAGACACTTAAAAGCATACTGAGTAGTGGAGTAGCCCAAAAAAACACACGGTTTGGACCTGGGTTGTATCTTTGAATTGGTGTAGGGCCGTAACCAAGGGAAACACAAGCATCCAAAGGGTTTTAGTTTAGCATACTTTGGCATTACACCGAACAACGCACGCAGCGGAGTTGACCCATTGAGTATAGGGGTAGGTAAACGGTTAATAAGATATGACGCTGTTTGAAACGCATGTGACCAAAACTCTAATGGCATAGACGCATGGTGTAACAAGGCTAATCCTGTATCGACAATGTGTCGATGCCGACGCTCGGACACTCCATTGTGTTCGGGAGTATGCGGGGGACTAGTGAAGTGAGATATACCACAAGAGTTTAAGAGCGGTTTTAACTTTATAAACTCGCCTTAACTTTATAAACTCGCCTCCATTGTCTGAGAACAGAGTAACAATTTTGAGGTTGAACTTGTTTTCAACCAGATTCTTAAAATGACAAAAAACGGAATACACATCAGACTTTTTGACTAGAGGAAATAACCAGATATACTTGGTAAAGTGATCTACAAAAATCACATAATAATTAAACCCATCGACCGACTTTTGAGTAGTACACCAAACATCAGAGTACACTAGTTCAAGAGGTCTTGTGCTGGTCATGGAATTATTATAAAATGGCAACTTGTGACTTTTGTTGCTTAGGCACGACTTACAATTGAAATCAGAGTTAGGCCGGAGGGGAATATTAACACTTTTGAGCACATTAACAAGTGTTTTATTGGACGGATGGACTAGAGTGTGATGCCAATTTGTGAGAGAAGACTTGATAGCCGCATTTATTTGTGGTGGAAGCGAAAGTGGAGCACTGTACACATCATGCACGTTCCTCCCTCGCAGAAGTAGCGCCCCCGTGGACCGATCCTTCACACAAAAATGCGTATCAAAAAATTCAACAGAAACGTTGTTAGACTTGCAAAGTTTATAAACAGACACAAGGTTTCTTTGTAATTGGGGAACACAGAGAACACTAGACAAGGATAAATCACGGTTAGACGCAGGGAGGGTGGTTTGACCAGTATGAGATATTGACAGGGACGTACCATCACCTAGATGAATCTCGTCCGGACCACCATATTTAGTAACAGAGTGTAGTATTGATGGATCCGAAGTGGTGTGATGGGATGCACCGGAATCAAACAACCAAGGTTGTTGATGATGAGCAGCGGTATGGGACGCAGTCGGAGCCATGGTGGTATTCACCACTGGTTTTGTGCCAAACCTCGCTTCTAGGGAGACATTATTATCTCGTAGGAAGCGTTGTAGTTTACTACACTCACGGGTCTCATGACCTACAAGATTGCAGAACTTACATACGACATTTCGACGGGGCTGGTTGAAATTCCGGGAGTGAGAGGACTACCCATTGTTGCCTCGATTTTGTTTAGGGGAGTTCCGGCCAGAGTTTGGAAAACCATACTGCTTCTGCGTTACATTTACCGTGGCAACAAGAGATTGACTCGTAGCGTCCTTTCGTTGTTGCCTTTCAAATTCGACAAGTACGTCCTTCATTTCGGCGAAGGGAATGGGTTCCGGCCGCACGCGCAGAGCAGGTACAACGTGATCATATTCCTCATTTAATTGGGTGAGAATATGAACCACCAAGTCTTGTTCACTAATTGGATGTTGAGCCAGCGCCAACGACTCGGCAATCGTGAACATTTCATCAACATACTCCTCAATAGGGCGACCATTTTGGGGATTGAAAGCCAGCCTGGTTTTGAGAGATACAATGCGAGAGGGTGAGGTACTGGCGAAGCTGCCCGTAAGCCGGACCCATGCAGCTGCCGAGGAAACCGCCGACGAGATCACTGGTTGAATCGTGTCGGAACAGCTCCCTAAAATGGCATTTAGGATGGTTTGATCTTGTCTAAACCGTGCGGTGTAAGCAGGGTTGATTTCCTTCTGAGCCGTATCAGAAAATTGGGTAGGAGCCGGGGTTGAGCCGTCAATATAGCCAAGCAACCCCAAGCCAATGAGAGAAGCTTGAACTTGCCTTCTCCAAACTTGGAAGTTAGAAGACGTTAATCGGATGGGAAAATTGGTGGGAGCATTTAGTTGGATGATTTGGATGTCTGAGGAAGAAGCCATGGGAGAAACGGAAAAAAAAAATAATGGTTTTATTTTTTTTTTCTCGCTAGAGTATGGCTCTGGATACCATATAGAAGCAGAATGAACGATGCATTTCACCAAAAGACAGAGAAGGCTTAAATAGCCAAGAATACAACAAACCTACCTAAGTCTATGAGTTGTTAACAGACTTATTCTATTTCTATAAACAAGGAAGAACTAATCTATATTATAAGGTAATATTATGTCTTCTTAGAGGGGAAGGGGGAGGGGGTTCGAATAGATTTTATAAAATTTTGATGAGTAATAAAATTATCAAAGTGTTTGCAACGGAAGTTTTGTACTTGACAAAGTTTGTTTGTAGCTTAGCTTGTTTAATTGTTTTGCAAAATGTATGAAGATTGGCATGTGTATTGGTTCAATCGACAATGAAAGTAAAAGAGTAAAAGAGAAAGAAAGTGAAACAGTATTTTTATAGTAGTTTAGAAACTCCCTACTCTATACTTTTCCTTGATACAATGAAAGATTTAATTTCACTAGTATTAATACAAATAAAGGTGATGAGATCGAGCCTCAGTGGAGGCGATGTTGACTCTTTGTACTTCAACAGGTTGAGAAAGTATAGATGAACAGATACTACAATGTAATAGAGTCAGTAGCTTTAAAAAAAAAAATATACAAATAAAGGTGAAATGTATAGCTTCCCACTAGTTGCTAACTAGCTAACTAGGTTGCTTGCTATTCTTCTTTGATTGTACTGATGAGCACAACTTTCTTCACTACCCAATCTTCTAAGTTCAAGGGTTGTCCACAAAGTCGTCTTGAATGAAGATTATCTAACCTCTCAGTTACCAAAAAGGGGTTTTGTCTGAACAGAAATTAAAGTTGGGCAAAATTTAATCTAAATGGTTTATTTATTTTTTTTTTTTTGAAGTTTTGAGTAGTGTATTCTTTCTATTTTCAACAACTTTCAAACTCTTCCTTTTCCGTTGGACGCCATTGACTTTTGGCTATTGACACCTTATAGGTGAAAAACATCATTTTATCCATAAAGGTAGTTCTATGATTTTCCGAAACATATTTTGAAGTCGGGAGTCTTGAGAAATATGCCCAACAATTTTTTTTCATAAAGGAATTCCATATTCTCGTATTAACATATGCCAGATATACTTCTACTGATAGACCTCAGATATGCTATTCTGAGAGGATTTACTTTATCCTGGCTTAGATAGTTCTGATGATTCTAGTCATTGTTAGATGTTAAGGTATCTATATGAAGACCTCAACACATGAATTACAAGCTCTACCGTTTGCTAGTGCATCTACTAATTAAGCCAAGTTGTTGATAGATCTGCTGGTTGATCTCACAAGCCTGCTAGAATATGTTGTTGGTTGTATTTGCTAAAAAGATTTTTCAGACGATCTATCAAGATTTGCTGGAACCGCCCCAATAAATGATCTGTCAAATTACTTTCGTCGAAATGAAGGTCTATTGTACTACAATATGCTGATTATAAGATTTTCTAAACGAGATCTACTAACTAAACATTAGATGATTAAGTTAAGTCCTATTTTATTTTCAAAAGAAAGTTAAGTCCTATTTTGGCATTTACAGGTGCCGTATTAAACTTAATACAACCGATATAAAGTTGGGAATGCTAAATTTCTTATCTATATAAATATTAATATAATCCAAATCTAAATAACATTATTTCTAATAGTAATACCATTGTTAGACTTAATGAATTTATGGATACAAAATTAATTTTTAACTATATAAATTGTATATCATTATCTCATCATATTGGAAAAAACTACTTGGTTTTGATTCTCACTCCTCCATTTATGCCTAGCACTCAACTTAGCAGTGATAATTAAGTGAAATGTGGTCATCAATTAATCTAGCTAACTCCTTCATTAAGGAAATAAAGAAGAAATTAGAAAGGCAATTAAGTAGCTAGATAGGTGTCCAGCTGAGCCACCATGCATGCCCTATTCGCCTTTCACTCCTTTGAAAGTGAATTCTGACTGATTTGGAATGTCTTTAATGCCCATTGCTAACCTTTAGTCAATTGCAATCACCTCAAAATGCAATTCTCTTTAAAGATGAGATCTTGATTAATACTCCCTCCGTCCCGAATTAGTTGTCTCATTTGCTTTTTGCACGCTTTTTAAGGAATTAAAGTAAATGCTATGTATTTTCCAATTATGCCCTTCACTTTTTCACTTTTGGAAATAAAAACAAAAGTCATAAGGGTAATTTGGGAAAAAGAATAATGATGGTGATGTTCAATTTTGGAAAGAGGACAACATTTTGGGACAAACTAAAAAGGAAAGTAAGACATGCAAAATGGGACAGAGGGAGTATCATACTTTCTCAACTTCTAAACCAACTTAGATCATCAAGTCATTTAATATGTGCATCCCAATAAATTCTTTTTCATTACATATCTGCTTAATTAGCTGGCAAATCATCTATTAATTTGCAAGATACAAAAAGTTTTAGATATAAATTTATGATTTTTTAAAAGTGATGATCAGTACACAGACGTATTCTGTATTAGATACAATCATTCACGCTATATCTGATTTTATGCCAAAAAATACAACATGTACTCTCATTTTTTACTTACACACAAAATCTTGGTGTAGACACTTTTATTGGGACTCACATGAAAAAAGTAGCCTATCAATACCCGCCACATCAGGAAGTAAAATTTAGGAAGTATGATTTGGAAGTCTATGTAGTAGAACTCTAAAACTATCGTAATGTCTTCAAAAAAAAAAATTGTTGTAATAGTCATTTCTTTTTCCAAGTTTAATTTAGTAATTATACTCCACAAAAAAAAAAAAAAAACCATATTTACGTTTATGATTCTATAAATATTTCATCCAACATAGGCGTTCTTTTACATTTTTGGTGGAAAAGCATGCGTTAAATCGTTATGTGCATCATAACACATTTATTGCTTTGGTTGTGTGACATATCGTTAATGTTAATACAGTTATGTTTATATTATTGCAATCTGAATATTTTTGCAATAATATTGCAATCTGAGTGGTTTTGTAATTTCGTAAATTCAAACTACAATTAATTATGTTGAAGAGAATGTTTTTTTTTTTTTTTTTTTTTTTTAAATTGTCCTTAATCAATCATCACTTTTTACATGAGAGCATGTTCTCACATAACCATTCTCTATATATAAAATAAAAAACTGGTCAAATAAGCCATCGAATTTAACTAGAAATTCAACTCGGCCGCTTAAACTTTTTAAAGTAGCAATTAAACCCATCAATATTGTATTTTGGTGCAATTTTGATGGGTCTAATTGCTACTTTAAGGTCGATGACTTATTTAACCATTTTCCCTATAAAATAACATTAGTTTCTCAATAAATGTTTCTCACCCAAATTATGTGTAATACATTGTATTTCCCTAATAAATGAGATTATAAGGAAACTTGCAATTTTTTCCCCCAAATTATTGAAAAATAGCACTTTTTATCCCTTAATTAATTATTTTATCACGTAAATTTTTGTTCCTCATCAATTGTTTGCAAAGTAAATATTTTATTCCAGAATTTAATTAAAATTGGTTAATTAGCTGCTCTCTACAAATTTTAGGGACAAAAAAAAAGTTACTTTACAAATAATTGAGATATAAAAAATGATGATCATATACTTGAGTGAATAAAGTACAAGTTATATATTAATACCATTTTATGTTGAATTATATGAAAATTGTATATAATCTATTATAGATTTTTCTAAAAGCTATATATTTTTTTGAAAATCTAAAAGTTATATTTAATTTCATTCTTTAATTTATAGATTGTTATAGATAGATTTTGGCGTGCATGGTGCGGGCAAAAATAAGAGGAGATCAGAAATTCAGAATAGAGGGATAAAAATGATTATTTATCATTCCCCATTATAATAGCTCACCAAAATGTTTAAGTAACCATATATCAGAGAAACCATGAAAGCCTAGAAGCTAGACAAACGTGAGTAGCAACCTCACTCAAATATAACATCCTTATAAGAGAGAGAGCGAGCGAGAGAAACCTAGAGAGAGAGAGAGCGAGAAAGAGAGGGAATGAGAACTCAATCATCAACCTCATCTGAAAAAGGTGCCGCCGGGGCTTCGCCGCCGGCGAAGGCGAAGGGGAAGCAGACGCCGTGCTGCAGCAAGGTTGGGCTGAAGAGAGGGCCATGGACGCCGGCGGAAGACAAGCTGTTGACTGATTACATCAACAAGGAAGGCGAGGGGCAGTGGCGAACCCTACCCAAGATGGCCGGTCTCCTCCGCTGCGGCAAGAGCTGCCGCCTCCGCTGGATGAACTACCTCCGCCCCACCGTCAAACGCGGCCACATCACCCCCGACGAAGAAGATCTCATTCTCCGCCTCCACCGCCTCCTAGGCAACAGGTACATACCCACCCTCCCATCAGATTATTATAATCCACCCCCGCATAAACAGTTGCCAATAAAACTTATCATAAAAAACCAAAGATCAATTGAGTCACCATAATCTGTCAGGCCGGAATGGGCCATTCCACTTTTAATTTTGTCACAAAATTATTATAATTCAGTCCGAATAGACAACTCAATTAGTCACAAACTTATCACAAGATCAGAGATCAAAGATTGAGTCTCACCTGTAACATCAGTTGAGCCACCATAGTCTGTCACCCTATCGGGATAAGCGATTCCACCTTTTATCACAAGATTATTATAATCTCACTTTATTTTAAGGTTTGAGACTTTCATTCCTTTTATTTTGCTATGGTATGAAGGTGGTCACTGATAGCAGGGAGGATTCCAGGCCGGACAGATAACGAGATAAAGAACTATTGGAACACTCATCTCACCAAGAAGCTGATTAGCCAAGGAATTGACCCAAGAAACCACAAGCCTCTACTCATAAACCCTACAAACAACCACCCCAAAAGCCATACCTCTTCCTCCTCAGTTCCCATAATCAAACCCACGCCCATTCACGTTGGTCTTTCCAACCAAGA